ACCCCAATGTCGTTTAAACTAGATTACACAAACCTGACGTTCTGTGAACATTATCCGATGTTCAATACTGAGTCCCCAGATTCCTTCTGACTGAATATGATACCAATCAGTGTTATGATCTTCAAATGAGTAAAATCTTCCAGGACAAGCATGGATCAGAGAATTATATTAAATAAGTAGTTTCTGTTGTGATTCAGTTCATTTAAATTATCAATATATATATATAACGCAATACATTACTGATTTACACGATGTTAGTTCCTTTACCTGTCATTGTAGATGTTTCAAATTTGTACATAACATAGAGCTGAATTTATGTCCATCCTTTACAACTCCAGGTACTGGGTCCAATAGATCGATTAATATTGGCACAGATACTGATGTGATGTCACCATTAGTTTAATGAAATCAGGATGATTGACCTGAAACAAAGAAACAATTCTACAATATATATTATTGTGCATTTGGACAATACTAGAGCACTGTGCTAGAGTACTGTGCATATTACATTCTTTGTGCAATTTACAAGTCATACTACATACAATTATACCAAAAGAGTACCTCAAGCTTAAGACCAGTAAATGTTTAGCTACTTTCGTTGGCCGACACAGAATTTGATGAATGCAGCAACAAGCGTATCGAACCATCTGCCCCACAATATTGTCCATCGTATAGTTGAAATGCATATTGACCGCTTTCTTCGTCCAAATACCCATCACAAGATACAGCAATCTCATCATCTTTGTCTATATATGCAGCTCTCTATAATATAATTATATTAGTCATTTAGAACGCTAATTAAAATACAAAATTTTAAACGGTGATATTGTGCATATTGCATGATTACTCAGACACGTATTACACTGGTTGATCAATATACAAGTCGCAGACATAAAAAGGTATAAAGATGACATGTTTAAATATTTTAATGCGGGTATAAATACCTTATTATAATATTCACCAATGGGTAATCTCCCTTCTGTAGGTGGACTCAAATCAATGGTAGTTTTCGCCGAGGAGACGGAACACGATACTGCCTCGTCAGTAGCCACAACCACGACAAGGTAAGTGTGTTTATCTTCCAGTACGAGATTGATGGTGACGACCATCGTATTGTAAGGGGATATTTTTCAAACATATGTTGAACTGCTTCATTACCGTTTTTCTACAATGAACGAGATAAAATGTAACAACAATAATCGGAATTACAATCTGGTTTCATAACGCATCTACAGTTACTCACCGGACCATAACATTGCGCATCATCAAAAGGCCCGGTGTACTACATTAACCCCTACTGGTAGAAAAGTATACGTATTAGCATTGTAAACGAAAAGACTCTAGTTTACCCTGAACTGCCAAGCTAAGACGATCTACTGAATACCTCCCCAAAAATACCTGGATGGCAAAGGATGACAGTAATGTGACAATTGTGGTGACAAAACCTATCAGGAAGTAATAAAAATAAGCATTATTTTCTTCTTTCCATGTGCTATTGACATCTCTTCTTTCCAAAAAAGGTTGGGGATTTAGATACGTGTTTTCGCCTATTCTTGTCATTGTTAGATGGATAATATTCGGTGTACAACTAGACTTTAACACTGTACCAATCACCTCACCTTCATATACCTGCATAAGCACAACAACACAGCAAATCATATGAATATAAATTCCAATCCTTATATTTGTTTTATAATTGCTATGCCATCAAACAACTTACCGGATGGTTCTTTTCAACGTGCACGGGTGATATGATCACTTCTATGTCACAGATTTCATTTGATATATCTTAGGTGTACATAAAAATGCTCACTTGCTGGTTAGCAGTTACATTGGCGAATCCACCAAAGGAAGCTACTAAAGTCTGTTTAATAAAAACAAGGGAAATATTGTTAACTGTTAATACATAGTGTAATGTTGTTTGTTAAGTGAGCATTGTAAATAAAATAAATACGATCTTTACGTGTTTGCATTTTTATGGAAATACGATTATTAATAAGGTAAATGTTTAATTAAATAAATTGTGAGCGTATTATCTAGTGCGTAAATACGAGTACAACTGACACACATATATACGAATCTTGGATGTGTAGAATATCCACCATAATTGTACGTACAACGTCATTGGTTGAAAACAAATACAAACTGCTACCTGCTAACAATGAGGATTTGGAAATATTGAACATAGCAACCCCAATTACGTCTATAGCAGCCTTTTGCCTAAAACATAAGAAAAAAACAATTGCATAGTACACGTCAGTTCAAAAAAGCACTTCATCCCACGTCATTTCTGTCACACGGCAGTTGATACCACATTACTACTTCATACCACATAATAACTTCTTACTACACAATTGTTTTGTACCACATGGTCAATTTGTACCACATGGTCACTCTGTACCACCTAGTAACTTCATACTCCATGGACTGTTTGTACTGCATTGTCATTGTCTGTTAGTGGCATCTATATATATGCAGATGTTTGGCAAATCCTGCAAATTCAGGACAAGTTGGATTACTTTAATCATTATGAATTATATAGTGATTAAAATATTCAACCCTTATCCCAAATATTAATTATTGTAGTAACTATAGGAATTACAAAGTTACCTGCGGACAAAGTGACCGTGTGATACGAAATGTTCGTTATCATGTGATATAAGTTAACATGTGATACGTGACTTTGTGACACGACCAAGATTCAAGTGTTGAGGAAATAGGTTATCATAATAAATGTGTTAAAAATATAGGAATGCAATTAACAGTAGTTCATAAATGATTAAATGTGGAATATATTGTCAACTACATGAAATCCATACAATCCATTTAAGCAATTGTGAGATGCAATATTATTGTGTGCCCTAAAAAACTGTAGAATAAAAAGTCAGTAGAATAACTATAATTGACATATTTTACAACTGTTACTAACAACATGACGTGGTTTACAACGAGTGCTTATGCATGAATCATGGAAACTCACCAGTGTGATTCATTCCAACATTGCGTTCATCAGTGTTGATATCTGAATTCTGGAAGAACAGCAATTAAATCAGGAGAGGAAATCAAAATTACAGTCACATATATGAAAACAGAAACTTGAAATAGGCGATTCGAACTATGGCAAATTAAACCCCGCCACTGTGAGCAGGTCTATAGCGCACTACCTCAAATAAGACAGTTTGAAATAGCGTGTAGTGAATACATCCATGTAAAGACTAAATGAACATGCTCAATTTGAATCCTCAACGTCACAGATAACATGCAAGATAGACAACTCTCATCTTCTTATTAAATATGAAAGCGTGCAACACTTATCATGAAATTACCTAAATCGATCAACATCGTGCAGATTATCCGTGATTAAAATAGAATGAGGTACCTTCAGAATCTTGGAATATATGATTTCGTTGAAACAAAAAGAATATATACATATACCAACTTACATTGTAAGTTCCATTAATCAAATAAATACATACTTTAGATGTATAAATATATTTCTACACAATATATCGCATTTAGCAAACTAGGTAGTACAACGTTATATACTCATTCATGGATTCTATGTATAAATTTTGGTTCTTCGCTCATTTGCATTTGTTTTAGGAATTTAATGGAGTCTGCATCATTTGACTGTTCTGCTGTATTACTATTGTGAAAATGACCTTAAAAATGAATAGTATCGATATTATAAATCACAGTGTTCAATTAAATCAGATTGGCCTGTTTATATACATACTACTTGTCCTTTGGCGCTATGGTCATCGTCGTCGACCTGATAGTACACGTTGTGTATTTCTCCATGTTCGGACATGACGAATGAAAACCTAATGTGTAAAGTTAAAGACGTGAGCGCATAGTGGCAGTAGGTTAACTGTAGAATAAAAGGCCCCATATCAGGACTATTCCGGGATATAATATCCGACCCAGACCAAAACATTGTATATTGTGAATATAACTATAAATGTATTTAGGGAGGAGTAGGAATTCTCATACTCCTTAAGGTATTTAGTGAGTCCTTATTAGTGAGTCTTTATTACGCAATTTGCATATGAAATTATGACATATGAACCTTATATGCACGATGAATGAATAATCATCTTATGAGTATTCATCTCAAAATATCATATAGACCAAAAGCCAATGACCAGCATCATTGCTGCAATGAGCAGAATGTTTGTTACATCGCTGATTGCATGAAGTCCAAAGTTCAAGTCTTTGTGGTTATCTGCCATAGTAACACTAGGTCAGTGTTTTATCTTTGATGTCACATGATGTAAAAGTCTCATGGCACTGGTTGTATAAAAGTCCATAGAACAATTTATGAGAAGAGTCAAATACTTTTGACTTGAGAAAACAGGTCAAACTCGGCAACATGACATTTGGTGTATATATTAAGTATTGTAATGTAGCATTCGGTTTGGTCAAGAAGCACTAGGTAGTTTTAAATGTAAGTATACTCGATTGATACTACACGCCAATATGAAGTGAATACATACCATTCATCCAAATTCCATGTCATCATAGGCGGCTTGATTGTTTCTACAGAACAACGAAAAGTAGTATTTTTGACATTTCATTAACATTTGAGTAAAATGTTAAATGACATCGTAGTTCGTATTTCTATTAAGTGACCAATACTCATCATAATATGTATTCGAGTATTGAATGGTGAAATCTTTCAATTTAAGTCGACAATGAAATCCCGTTTATCCAGCAACATAATACTCAACTGAAAATAATAACAAACTAGACTGCACTCAGGGTAATGCCAACGTATACTAGACGTCTTCAATATATATGTTAACATTCAAATCCACAGTTATAGGCATATTACACTTATATGTCACCTTGACTTTTTAACCTTAACATGTGAATATTGGGAACATACCGAGGTGGACACGCCCCAATCCATCGCTCTTGTGGGGCACTGGCACCGTCACCAGGATACATCGTGTTCCTGCTTGGGACTGACATTGATGGCGAGTTCCGAGGTGTGACCTGTACAGCCCTCAGGAGCTGAGCTGGTCCAATCCTTAATCAGAGACTTAATCAGTGCTTAAGCACCCGAGTTGGTTGCACAAGTACAGGGACAAACCTTGCTGTGTTCCCCTACCGATGTTAGTCAGGGTGAAAAAAGGCTCTTCCCATGGTGACAAGTCTGCTTTGAAGGCTTTGCTGGTTAGCTTGTTTCTGCAGTTGCGGGGTACGGCACAGGAGAACCGGCTGTGCTGCCTGTCCCTTCTCCAACCGGCTTTGGTTCAGATGTGTCCCATCCTTCCTTTGATTTGTCCCTAAGAGGATCAGAGGGACGACAAGTCAAATCAGTTGGACAGAGGGCGTCAACCGCTCTTAAGGAGATATACCCCCATTCTGGACGGGATGCTCTATGTGCTCTCCACCAAGTTTCCCACGCATCCCCCAGGTATGGTGTGAGCAGGCATCGATGGTTCTACTTCACCAAGTGCCTCTACTTGTTCCTCTGTGCAGGGTGGTACGCAGCCCCCTGGGAGCGCATCTAACACTCCTTGTCAACTCTCGCCCCTTCCTTGTCGGGACAAGCACATGCTAACCAGCTAACTGGAGCCTGGCTGACTCTTAACAGATGGTATAGGTATAGATGCAGGTTTGTGGAAACTTGGGAGTGGATGTTTTTGTGTGCATTTTATTATCCAAACAGTTTTGGCTATTAACTGTTAAAATTTCGCAGCATTGTGGATAGCGGGACATACTTAAAAGAAGATTTTAAAATATAGAAAACAGGTACAACATTTTTCTTTTGAATGCTTAGCAAGATTTAGCAAGGCTGTACATAAATATTCGAAAAGAAACAGTTTATCAGTTGTTTATTAACATATGGGTGTCCGGGTGTATATACAGTATGTTTTGTTTTCATGTATTTATGTGCCGTATATTCAATCCCGGTCAGTATTTTACACTTCGAATGTCATTGTCCGAAATAGTGTGACAAAAACTGTGGGAGCTAATTTATTTTCAATCTCTTCAACCAAGCAGAAAACACGAACGGAGATAATGCCCGTTTTATGAAACGGCTATTGCATCACGACAACATGCCAAAATCCATCATCCACCGACACTTGCTGATGTTCAATCAACAGATAAAGCAATAAAATAAAAATATTTACCATTCAAGGGAAACAGACGTAAAATCATCCGGAGAGTCAAAACTGAAAACTGTCAGACTTTGTG